GAAGTGGAGCTGTGGCTCAAGTGGTAGAGCACTAGCCTTGAGCTGAAGAGCTGAGGGACAGTGCCCAGGCCCAGAGTTCAGGCCCCATGACTGAACCCGCCCCCCCCCCAAAAAAGGTAGGGTGGGCTAGGGGCATGGTTTAAGCAATGGAGTATTTCGACAGACCTCAATCCCCCATGCCACCTTCCCCTGCAATAAAAGATCTTGGTAAGACATTGGTCAATTCTTACCTCTTTGTTCCTCATAATTTAAATGGCTTCCCATTTTCTTCATACTAAAAGCCAAAGTGCTTGTAGTAGTCCTCAAAGCCTGTGATCTCCATTAATCTGTGTCTGCCATTCTTCCCATGATCACTCCTGTATAGTTAGACTTACCTCTTTCCAATCCTTAGTTTTGTTCTGGGGGTGCAGCTCTGAAGTTTGAACATGGCCTTGTTTTTGCTATGTAATTGCCCTACCTCTGACCTTTTCCTGTAGTCCTTTTTTGCAACAGACATGTACCTGGTCTAGGGCAAGTGGAATGATAGGTACATACAACAAATCCATCCATTTCTGTTGAAATTGGTGGGGGGCAGGGTCTCACAAACTTTTTTTTTTTTTTTGCGGTCATGGGGTTTAGCTGCTGGGCCTGGGCAGTGTCCCTGCGTACTTCAGTTCACGCAAGTGCTCTACCACTTGAGCCACAGCAACATGTCTCATGGACATACCTGCCTAGGCTGGCTTTGAACCGCTATCCTCAGATATCAGCCTCCTGAGTAACTAGGATTACAGGTGTGAGCCACCGGCACCGGGCGTCTCACAAACTTTTTGCATAAGCTCACCTCAAACCATGATACTCTCATCTCAGGCTAATACAGAGCTAGGATAATAGCTGTTAGTTGAAAAGGTGTCTCATGAACTTTTTTTTTCCTGGGACTGGCCCTGAACTGGATGCTCTCCATCTCGGCCTCCCAAGTAGCTAGGACTGTAGTTGTGAGCCACTGGCACTAGGCCCTCATCACAATTTTAAATGGAGACAAATAAAGCAGGAAATTCTAGGTATCCATTTTCATCTCAATGACTTCTTTAAATTTACTCCAAAAGAATTATCATTATCTTTTGCGTGTTTTCACCCTTGTTACTGATAAGTTATGAACCACTTAAAAGTCAAAAGTATTACCTAAATACAAGGTGGTACTTTAAATGACAAAAGGGATTTCATCCTTAATGCAAGCATAATTAAACGCAGGCATTTTATCTTTGAGTATTAAGACCACATACAAAGTTGGGCAGACCTATAATCCTGCATTCAGGAGGCTGAGATCTGAGGATCAAAGTTTTGAAGCCAGCCTGAGCAGACAAATCTGAGATTTTTATCTTCAATTAACAAGGAAAAAGGTGAAAGTAGAGGTGTGGGCTTACATGGTAGAAAGATAGCTGTGATAGAAAAAACCAGGTGAAGAGTGCAAGATCCTGAGTTTAAGCCCCAGTACTGGCTGGGCCAGGGGAGGGGGGCGGGAAGACCAGATAATGAAGGTGAATTTGTGGGTAGGACCTACAATTTTAGGGCAGGGGAGGAGGAGGTTATAGAAATGGCTATTAGTACAGTCCTTTTTAATTTTAGCTCAGAAAGTTGACAGTCTCAGGACAATTGAATTTCCCTAGCTCTACAAATGGAAGTAAGGTATTTGTATAAAAAGAGAAAGCGGAAGCTGGGTGACAGTGATCATGACTATAATCCTAGTTGTTCAGAAGGCTGACAATTCAGGGTCACAGTTTAAAGCCACTCAGGCAGGAAAGTTCTTGCCACTCTTGCCTCCATTAACCACCAAAAAGACAGAAATAAAGGTATGGCTCAAGTGGTGGAGCACCAACCTTGACCAAAAAAGCTAGCAGACAGCACCTAAGCCCTGAGTTCAATCCTCAGGACCAGCATAAATATAAATAAGAGGATTGTGGTCCAGGCCTATCTGGGCAAAATTTGGAGCCAGAGCAAAAGGGGCTGGAAGTGATGTTCAAGTGGTAGAGCACCTGCTTAACAAGCATGAAAGCTTGAGTTCAAAACCCCAGTAACAAAAAATAACAATAATAAAACAGATGAAACACTCTGTTTTTAAATGTTGTACCAGCTCCAAAACACATTCATTAGGCTGTATTGGGGTGACATACCTGTTTTAATGGATGCTTGATATTAGTGGTGTAAATATTTGCACATTACAATAGTTTTAAGTAGTTAGAACTCATATTATTAGTCTTTTCAGGGGTTCGTTAGTTTTTTATATTCAGGTTTGTGTTGTTTGTTTTGTTTTTGAAACAGAATTTTGTTGAATAGTCCAGGCAAGCCTAGCACTCATGATTCTCCTGTCTCAGCCTTCTGAGGGATAGGATTAAAAGTATGCACACAATACCTGACTAGTATATTAAGTGTTGTTCTGAAAGTTGATTACAAGACATTGAATTTTTGCTTTGTAAGATAACATTTTGCCAAGAATCTAAATTTTATTGAGATTAAAAGTGTCTTACAATAAAATGGGGAAAAAATACAAGGCACAGATAGCACTTTGAAATTTAGTATAATGATAACATACCTTAGTTTTGATAGGTATTATCCAAAAATGATGAATTGAGAATATGTAGTTTTGAATTTCTTTTTCCAAATTATTGTTTGTAAAAATGTTTTTTCCACTTTTGAGAAAAAATACCAAAAATGTTCTGCCTCTGTCTTCTTGTAGATATAAAACTGATGGAAAAGAAAAGGAGGCAATCCTTGAAGAAGAAGATGACCTCTGGGTCAGAATTCGACATCGGCATATTGCAGTTGTGTTAGAGTATGTCAGTCCATTTCAATTTTTAATTCCATGGTTTTAGATACTAAATATGTCATAGTACATTTTGTAATCTTAAAATTGTTCTATGAGAATTATACCTAATTTAAAGAATTCTCAATTTGACAGGGAAATTCCGAAGCTTATGAAGGAAATTTCATCAACAAAGAAAGCAACAGAAGGAAAGGTAAGAGCTTTACTTAACTTCCAAAATAATAACAAAGGTGAACTACTTATTTAAGTTTCTATGTTTGGCACATTCTATAAAGAGAAATAGAGAAAACAAACTCTTATTACCCATTATCTTATTTCAAAAATTAGCAGCATTTTGACTGGTCACTTCACTGAGTTTATTACTATTGTTTTCTTTTTGGCAGTTCCAGAGTTTGAATTCAGGGCCTCATACTTGCTAGGCTGGCACTCTATACTTGAGGTACCCTTCCAGCCCTGTTTTTTGGTGGTTATTTTTAGATAGGATTTTGCCTCTCAGCTTGATGTACACTTGAGCTGTGACCTACCTTCTTTAAGCTTCCCACTTTTGCTGGAATCCCAAGTTACACCACTACATCCAGCTTTTCTCTAAAGAGATGAACTTGTCTACTTCGGCTGCCTGAAACCAAGATCCTGCCAATCTTAGCTTCCTATGCAGCTTGGGATACAGGCTTGTATCATTGGGTCCAGACATGGGGAAGGAGGACCTCATAAACTGCTGTTGGGGCTAATAATCCTCCCAATCTCAGTCTCCTAAGTACCTAGGATTACAGATGCAAGCTACTAAACTCAGATAAGGTTAACATTTAGTTGACTAGTTAATTTCATCAGTGCATTATTAGAATTTTTTTTTTTTTGGTTGGTCGTGGGGCTTGAACTCTGGGCCTGGGCGCTGTCCCTCAGCTCTTCAGCTCAAGGCTAGTGCTCTACCACTTGAGTCACAGCGCCACTTCCGGCTTTTTCTTTTTGCTTATGTGGTGCTGAGGAATCGAACCCAGGGCCTCAGGCATGCAAGGCAAGCGCTCTACCACTGAGCCACCTTCCCAGCCCCAAGCTTAAACTTTTTAATCTTTGTTTGGATCAGCTTAGAATAATGTAAGAATTTACCAACTTAGTAGGAAAATTCAGCATTAAAATTGACCAGTTGGTGGTTGTTATTCTCATGTTTCTTATAATTAATAACATATTAGTAGATTTAATAACATATTAGTAGATTTAGCAGTCTGTAAGTGGTAAGATTGTATGTGTATGTGTGTACTCTGTGTGTATACATATATATTATATATTTTTATATTTTTTTAAATTTTTACTGATACAGCCCTTATAAATCACTATCATAATAATCTTTACATTTTTGAGATGTTGTATCCTAGTCAAAAACCAGTGATTTAAATGAAACATTTTGGTGTTAGCTATCAGCATTTCATTTTTCGTTGCCTAGTTTTTCATTACTCTCAAATTCAACACAATTTATCGTTTGCTGTCTGTTGATTATCCCCTATCATATTACTACTTCTGACTTCCTTTCTTGATTTAGCTTTTACTTACATGTTACTCCTTTTCACTTATGACCACACATTCCTTCAGACCTATCTCAAAAATTTAATCTTACCATTTGCACAAAAAATAATTAAAATGCTAGAAATAATCCATTCTTCTGTTTTCCAGCAAGTTGTCCACCTTAACTTAGCAGAAGATTGCATGAACAAGTTCAAGCTTAATATTGAAAAGCTCTGCAAAACTGAACAGGTATATGTAGAATCATAAATGCCTATGCTTATATGAACTTTGTGAATTAAAATGTAGGTTTTATCTGCTAAATTTAGTGCTTGTTTTCACAAAAAATAAAAATAAGACTTTTTTTTGGGGGGGTGTCAATTCTGGGACTTGAACTCAGGGCCTGAGCATTGTCTCTGACCTTTTTGCTCAAGGCAAGTGCTCTACCATTTGAATCATAGAGCACTTCAGGCTTTTTCTGTATATGTGGTACTGAGGAATTGAACCCAAAGTTTCATGCATGCTAGGCAAGCACTCTGCCACTAAGCCACATTCCCAGCCCAAAATAAGACTCTTAGAAAGGACCCCACCTAGGAAGTATTTAAGATGCAAGCCTCTACTATGTTCAACTATAACAAAGTACCTGAGATAAATCAGCTTATAAAGACAAAGGTTTATTTTTGACTCGCCGTTTTGTTTGTGTTTTTGATGCTGTGAATAAAATCCAGAACCTTGTGCATGCTAAGCATATTTGAGGTTCACAGATTTGGAGGATTCAGGTATAATCAGCTGCCCTCATAGCTATTTTAAGGCCAGTGGTGAGGCTGCGCATAATGGTGAGGGTATCTTGCAGAGCAAAGCTGCTTACCCCACAGCCATCCTCTATAAAGGCCCACGCTGAATGACCTGAAGGCCTCCCAGTAGGCTCCACTTCAAGTTTCTACCACCTCCCAACAGCATTGTTGTGGCTAAGGCATTATCACATGGGTCTTTGGAAACACTCTAGATCCAAACTATAGCCCATTAAGAATGGGCTCAGAGGCCCTGAATTCAAACCCTGGTACCACCACACAAAAAACAGCTTTTCGTATAATGCTTCATCCTAACAGAAATAGGAAGTAGGCAGGCTCGGATGGTTCATGCCTATAATCCTAGCTACTCAGGAGGCTGAGATCATGGTTCAAAGTCAGTGCAGACAGGAAAGTCTGTGAGACTCATCTTCACTAAACTACCAAAACAAAACCAGAAGTGGAGCTGTGGCTCAAGTGGTAGAGTGCTAGGCTTGAGTACAAGAAACTCGGTGATAGCACCCAGGCCCTGAAAGGGAAGGGGAAGGGGAAGGAAAAGGAAGGGAAAGGAAAGGAGAGCAAGTTGCATGTAATATTAAGTATTCTGGTAGCCATATTACAAAAGTAAAATATACAATTTAATAATATATTTGACTTAACCAAATACATTAAAAACATTGTAGTGTGTAATCAGTATGAAGATTACTAGTAAGATAATGATATTGTTTGTTTGTTTTTTTCATACTATGTATTTCAAATCTGGTATTTTGCACCGCACCACCTCTTTTTGTTGTTGGTAGTGGTGGTTGTGGGGCCTGAACTCTAGGCCTGGGTGCTGTCCCTGAGTTCTTCAGCTCAAGACTAGTGCTCTATCACTTCAACCACAGCTCCACTTCTGGCTTTTTTCTGCTTATGTGGTGCTGAAGAATTGAACCCAGGGCCTCATGCATGCAAAGCAAGCACCCTACCACCTACCACCCTACACCATAGCACCTCTTACTTCAGATGGCCTACATTTCAAGTACTTAGTTGCCATTTTACTTATGCTGGATAGCATACATTTAGATTAACGATTTTCTTCTTTTCTGCTTTATTTTTTACTTTTTTTATGAACTACTTATAAGGGATAGTAATATTTTTCTGTAAAGTGTTATCAATATTCCACTAAAGTCTGATGATTAAATGGGTACATTTAACAAAACTGAATTTTGATTGTAACCCACTGGTTATATTTTATTTTCATTAAGGACCTGGCGCTTGGAACTGATGCAGAAGGACAGAAGGTGAAAGATGCTATGCGAGTACTCCTTCCAGTTCTCCTCAGCAAAGATCATGATAATTGTGATAAAATAAGAGCGATCCTACTTTATATCTTCAGCATTAATGGTAATGAAGATTTGTTTTCATAAATACATTGAAATATCCAACTCTAAAATCACTGTTTTTTTTTGGCCAGTTCTGGGGCTTGAACTCAGGGCCTGGAGACTGTCCCTTAAGTGTCTTTTGCTCAAGGCTAACACTCTACCACTTGAGCAACAACACCACTTCCAGCTTTTTTGGGTAGTTTATTGGAGATAAGAGTCTTACAGGTACTTTCCTGCCCTGGCTGGCTTTAAACCTCAATCCTCAGATCTCAGCCTCCTGAGTAGCTAGGATTATAGGTATGAGCTCCTTGTGCCCAGCTAAAATCACCTTTTAACATGTAGTTTACTATTGATCATTGGAGAATCTTAGAAAACTCAAAGGGTAGTTGCTGAAGTTGGCTAAGTAAATATGTGGAAAATAGGAAGTTGGTTAAAGTAAGTATGTGAGAAATAGGAAATTAAGAGAAAACTAAAGGGGATATAATTTGACTGTTCATTTTTTTTAAAGCCAAATTCATGTTCCACTTAAGAAGAATTGGTTGCAGTAGCAGTTATGTGATTATGTGCTTACATTTTTACTTATATAAGGAACTACAGAAGAAAATTTGGACAGACTGATCCAGAATGTAAAGATAGAAAGTGATAGTGACATGATTCGTAACTGGAGTTATCTTGGTGTTCCCATTGTTCCCCAGGTATGAAGGTTACACTGTATTATATTGTGTGTGTGTGTGTGTGTGTGTGTGTGTCTGTCTGTCTGTCTGTCTGTCTCTATGTCTGTGTCTGTGTCTGGTCTGGAACCTAAACTTGGACCTAGCTCTCTACCATTTGAGCCACACACACTTCTAGCTTTTTTTTTTTTTTTCTTTTTCTTCCTTTGGTGGTTAATTGGAGATAAGAGTCTCATGGAGACTCCTGGGCTGGCTTCAGACTGTGATCCTCAGATCTCAGCCTCTTGAAAAACTAGGATTACAAGTATGAGCCACCAATGCCTGGCTTAGCTAAACTTTCTTTATGTAGGAATCCTTGTGCACATTCATACCATAGATTTTATATGTGCATGCTAGTACTGGGGCTTGAACTCAGAGCCTTGGTGCTATCCCTTAGCTTTTTCTACTCAAGGCTGATGCTCTACCACTTGAGCCACAGCTTTACTTCTAGCTTTCAAGTGGTTAATTGGAGATAAGAGTCTCACAGACTTTCCTGCCTGGACTGGCTTTGAACTGTCATCCTCAGATGTCAGCCTCTTGGTTAGCTAGGACTATGGGCATGAACTACTAGTATCCAGCCTCTTTTTTTTTTTTTTGGTACACTGTAGATTTTGATTATTTTTTTTAAGAAAAAACTTCTTTCCATTTCCTGATAGTTTTTTTTATTATTAAGTAAACAAATAAATGTTGTTTCTCTTTTCCATATATAATTTGGACACATGTTTTTCTAGTGTATTTATGGCTTCTGTTGCAGTTTTTTACTTGTGCTTTTTTATGATTCATTTATAGTAATAATTTGTTATATTTTAGTTAAACATTTAACATTTATGTAATATTTATATAATGCAAAGAAATAATTATATTCTCAAAAAAATGTAAGCTCAAAGCTATGAGTAGAGCTCAATGGTAAAGTACTTGCTTAGTAATCTTGGTTTCAATTTCCATCCAACACTAAAAAAAGAACCAAAAAAACCTCAAAGTTAAAACTGGAAGAATTCTTTTTAGAATCTCACTCTTTCGCACTAAGGTTTATATTTTTATTTGAGAAAACATGCCTAATCCTAATCTGATTGTTTTTAAGTAGGTACTTTCACTCTATTTTAAGTCAAAAATAATATTTTCTGGTAAATTGAATTTTTTTTGGGGGGGGGTCCAGTTGTGGGGCCTGAACTCGGCCTGGGCGCTGTCCCTCAGCTCTTCAGCTCAAGGCTAGCGCTCTACCACTTGAGCCACAGTGCCACTTC